CTAATTGCACAGGCTGCACATCAATGTTGTGATCAATTGACAGCTATCAAAACAGGGGCATCCGCTGACAAGTATCACCTGACCGTACCGCGGGCTCAAGTGTCGACCATCGAGGTCGAGTATTTTTTAAAGTTATCCGCTGACAAATTACCAGTTTCAAATGATCACCGAAACAAGTTTATTTTTCCAAGTTCATATCAAATATGTTGTGTTTATGTCACTATGGCCCCGCACTATTAGGATTTTGATTTCAAACTGACCTTGGAAGCGAAAAATTCATCCAGTTTTTTAAAAGTACAGGTGGGAAGACCTTATCTTACCATGGCCATGCGTTGGTCACGCTCTACGTCAATTTTTATACTCTGATTGATCAAAATTTGACAGGTGAGTTTATGCGGAAAAATTATGCAGCATCTTGAAAGTAGTTTACTTTGACAGCTGAAGCTGACAGAGTTTGTGTCAACTTGTGATGTTTTTAACTGTCTTTTTTCCTCTGGAGGTACAAAATGAAATACAGCTGCTATCAAAAGTCTTCGGATATTCATGGCTGGTTTGTTTACTGGATTTTGGTTGAAAATGCGTCGCTTGTCAAAATTCAGTAATTCGATTTCGGATGGCATCGTTTTCGTTTTTCACCTTGCTAAATGCGTAAGAGGGTTTAAAGTCTCAAGCAACTGTGGCCTCCTTGATAGCTTTCAGGAACTGAATCTCGAATGAGTAAGCCTAAGTAATTATTGTATTTGATGTTTGTGTTTCATGAAGTCTTGCAGAATTCACGCTGACAGTTTATGCAGCAAGTTTATGCACGTTTGCAGGATTTGAGTCAATGATCTGACCTAGTATCAGGTTTGATATAAACACAGAACTTTAAAAGCCTCCAAATATATTTGCTCACCACAAATAGAAAAAAACGTTCGAAGGATATTTGATTATAAATTTGGCTGTAGAAAAAAACTTTGAGCGATTTTCTTGCTTCGAGGGTTCACCTTCGAAAACAGTAAACACCGCGCTGGGAAGCCGGCTAAAACATAAACTTAAGACGCAAAAGACTCAGGATTTTTAGAACACTTTAATACTTGTCTTCGTGAATGAAAATTGTTGTTTCTGTAAAGGTTTCACGGAATTATATCTCTTTTTTTTGATTGTTAGTAGTCTCTCTTGCAATTTTAATCGCTTGTCCGTGCCGTTTGTTTTCATCGTTCATGACCATCGCTTGCAGGAGCACTCAAAATGTCGCGCGTATCAAACGCTTTATAAGATTACACATCGTTGTAACTGAAACCATTAAATAACAAAACAAATAATAATAAATTCGCTATTATGTTGAAGCGTAACTCTGTTAAAGTTCATTCAAACACTCGACCACACTGACAGCTCGCACTATAGAAACGAGAACCAGCTGGCCGTATGGGTGATTTTGGAAATTTTCTGAAATTTTTGAACGGTTTGGCTCGTCTTGAATATTGACTGAGTGCAATTTGTCTTGAAAAATTGTGAAATACCGCATTCTGTCCGAGCTCTGTATGATAAATAGTACTGTTTCACCTCAAATGTGGTGTATAAAAATTATAAAAGGTTGGTTTAAACACCCCCAGATTTGTTGGCAAGAATTTGTAAAGTAAACCTGTCGAACATAAAAAAAATTTGGCGTGATTTGTTTTCCAAAATTCGTTTTCGAGGCCTAATCTACTGTGATCTTGAATGTGATCGAAGATGTTTGCTATTTTTTGGGTGTACATATAAGGTTATCAATTCGATGTAAGATGTTTCACCCTAAAATAACTTAGCCTTTCCCTCAAAAGTCACATGAATGTGCTCTTAAGTTAAATGATTTGTGGATTAAAAGTTTATTGTTTGATTTAAATCATAAATTTATTAAAATTGGAGCTTCGCTTTTAGCCCTGGCTAAAATTCTCTAAAATAAACACCCCGGAAAGCTTCATTGCACCTTTTTCACCACAAAAGTTAGAACGCTTATTTCCTTTGAAGGAGGTAAAGCCCTCTCCCGATCGCTTAATGATAAGAATATAAGATTCAAAACATTTGATAACTTGTTTTCGCCACTACGACATTTTCTTTCAAAATTGTAGTAGAATAACGACGGCTACCACATTTTCCCTCCAAAATGACGTTGGTTCGCGCGCGCGCACTACTTAGTATTGAGAAAATCTCGTTCTCGTTGTCGTCCTCGTCTTAGAATCAAAAGCTCTCTAATAATGGGATCACAAAGGACGTCAAAATGTGGTAAAACTTGCAACATTTTGACGTCATCTGTGATCTAATTCTGAACAGATGAAGGGGAAAATAAAATCTCTTTCTTCAAATAATGACCTACAAAATTGTTTAATAAACAGCTCGCGTGGTAAGAGGGAGATCTTATAAAGCAACGTTAAGGATAAATTCGAAGTGATATTAAGTGACTACCTGAGGCACACGGACTTCGATTGAAAACTTGCATGCGATATCGTACTGATAGGCCATTCTTGAGGCTATGAACAATTCACTGTAATTACTTCCCGTCCTTAACCAACCTTAAATAGGGCGTTTACGCAGCGACGACGGCGACGGCAACGAGAACAGCAGTTTCCTCATGCACTTCCTGCTTCCAGCATGAAGAAATATCCTGACAAGACAACTTTTGACGGGCGAAGTTTATTCAGCGTCCGAACGGTTTTCACTACATAATGAATAATAATTTTAGCGTGATCTACAGCTAATTGAATATGTACAAAGAATGGTCCGTATTGGGAATAACGATCTAAACAATCGTCGGCTAATTGAATATGCAATAGCGTTTCTTGAGCTGACCCGGTCTGATTGGGGTCGCACGATAAATCAGCATTGCAAGATGTGGATCAGAACTCGACTCTTCGGCCTTCTCCGTTATGCCCTTTACGACTTTGACCATGGCCTCAATGAAACCATTGGACTGAGGATACCTTGGGCTAGAGTGTTGCACTTCGAATCTGTACTGCAGGGCAAATGTTTTGAATTCTTGGGACACGAACTGGGTTCCCTGATCTGTGTACACCGTTGCTGGTACCCCGTATTTTGAAAATATTGTCTTGAGAAGACGTATCACGTGTCCCGCCGTCTGACTGGTCAGTTTCTTTACGAAAGGGAACTTGTTGAAGTAGTCGGCAACCAGCAAGTAGTGGTGAGAACGATGCCCAAATATGTCAACTTCAAGTTTGAACCATGGCAAGCTGGGCACATCATGCGGTACTAGTGGTTCCTTCTGTTGAGCAGGCTTGTATTTCATGCATACGTCACATAATTTAACTGCATTTCTCACATCATCCGAGATTCCGGGCCAAACGACTGTCTCTCGTGCTCTCAACAGAGTTTTCTCTTCTCCTTAGTTGCCCGCATGACAGAACGAAAACGGAATGAGGATCATATAGATCATATCGATCATATCGATCCGTTAGATACTCTGCTCACAGTGAAGTTGGAATCACAAGTCGATGTGCTTTGAATATCAGGCCATCTTCAACTGCAAGTTCTTCACGGTAATTCCAATATTGTTGTAATCGTTCTGAGAGTTGCTGCCTCTGAAGCGGCCAACCGTGAAAGATGTAATGCCATAACTGGTTCAAGGCTGGATCAGCAGTGGTGGCAATTCTGGTTCTGTCAAGTCGGTTGTCTGCTTTGAGTCCATAGGCTTTGGACTGAGAGAGTCGACTCGACTCAGGGCGTCTGCAATTGAGTTGTCCTTCCCACAGATGTACTCGACTTGAATTTCGTATGTTGCAAGCCTCAGAAAAAGTCGTTGA